TCGGTTTCATTCCTTCGACTATTTCCTCAGTTACTGTCACTTGCTCTTTCACTTCTTTCTCTTCATGTGGCTTTGCGAATTCGGGATGTGTTGCTGCGCTAACAATCTTTTCAACAGTTTTTATTGGGCTTGTAACAATTTTTTGTTTACTTTCATCCTTTTCAGTTAATTGATCTAACTGGTTTTCTGTATCTTCTTTTTGAATATCTTTTGTCTGTATATCACGGATATCATTTGTTTTTTTGATTATTCTTTCATTTTGTACATACGTCTTTATTTGTTCTTTTTGACTTTGAGTTATGTCTTCTAATTCTTCAATTTTTGTTGGTACTATTTCTTCTATTCCTATCAGTCCTGTTACTTCTTCGATGTGCATAAATTGCTTTTTCGGTATAGATGGTACTTGTGATTTTATATCTTCGATTTCTTCTTCGATTACTACAACTTTATCTTCTTCTGTTTTAGATTTTGGTTTCTTTTTCCGTATTGTCGTTTTCTTCGTTTTAATTGCTGCTGTTTCGTTTTCTTTACTGCCGCGTCTAAATTTAGTGGTGTATTCTTCAGTTACTTCAGTATCGGAATCATTTGTTGGTTGTTGTTTTGTTTCGTGTATTGTAGTGTGTTGTGTGATTGTGAAGTGATGTTCTTTCTCTGATGCTTCTGTGGTTTCTGAAATGTATATAGAACAAGTGTGTCATGGAATTAAATTGTTGTACGTTTTATAAATCCGTTGGCATTATTTACATTCTGATATTTAACTTTTATTCCGAGTATTAGTTTCAGATCATTTTTAACATATTTCTTTTTATTTTTTAAATATTGTTTTTGATTACTCGAATGTTAAATATCATCTTAATTTAAGTATAGCCATTCAGTTGCTAGTAATGACTCGTATAAAGTAATACCTGTTTTTGTCTAAATGTGTCTATTATGTGCAGTGCAATTATGTTGTAAACATTATTAATAATGTCTGTGTTGTTGTTTGGCTTTGTACTTACCCGAGGCAAGCTGAGATCGTAATGTTAAGTCAAACACAAGTTGTTAACCTACTTGCAATAATTGTAAATCATATTTTACTAATTTGTTCATGTTCTGATTATATTTTTTTTTTATCTATTTTGCTAACATAAACTAATATACTTATCTAATTTGTCTGATTTATTTGATTTGTTAGATGTTACTAATCCTAGTCATAGTGTTGTATTGAAAAGAATTTTTTTTAAAGTCGCTTCTGAACTGTCAGTTTAAATCAGTTATGTTATCTTTCTATATGTATAATACTTACCCAAAATTTTTTCCATGTAGTCGGCTTCGATAGATGTGCTTGCTAACTTTGATACTACCGGTATGACGGGTTCGGGCAGATTTGATTCGATTTCAGTAATGTGTTGCAATTCAGTAACAATTACGCCTTGCTTTTCATCTTCTACTCCATAAGCTGTTTTACTTTCTGGTTTTGAAATGCTAAATTCTGATACTACATTTTCTGGAACAATTTCAGTTTTTAGAGCAACTTTTCGTTCAATTATATCCGCTTGCGCATTTACTTCCTTAGCGAGACCTTTGACGACTTCCTTTGCTTCTTTCTCCGTAGCGGTTATTTGGGTAACTTGAACACCTTCCGAAATGCGGAATGAAACTTCGGCTGTTGCGCTTACTGCCTTTTTTTCAGCGATGAGGGAACGTTCGCTTTCGTGAGGAATCGATTCCATTTGTTGTATACTTTCAAACGGTATCTGTTCTGGTGTTATTTTCTTTACATCAGGTTTAACAAATTCCATCATTTCCTCTGACGATGACGACGCAACAACGTGAGATTTTTGAGCAACAGGCATGCTTAATATGCTCTGCTCGGCTACCTGTTTAGTTGCTTCTTCTAGATTTTTTATAATTTCTTTTGTTTCCTTTTCCGTAGTAGTTACTTGGATAACTTCGACGCCTTCGGAAACGCGGAATAAAACTTCAGCTGTTGCGGTAGTCGTCCCTTTATCTGGGACAAACGAACATTCAATTTCATGAGAAATTGGCTCAATTTGTTGTATACTTTCAAACGGTATTTGTTCTGGCATGATTTTCTTTATCTCGGGCTTGATAGATTCTACAATTTCTTCCGTTGTTAATGATGCAACTACTTGAGTTTTCTGAGCAACTGGCATACTTAGTATATTCTGTTCAACTGTCTGTTTAGTTGGTTCTTCCACATATTTTATTACTTCTTTTGTTTCCTTCTCTGTAGCGGTTACTTGGATAACTTCGACTCCTTCAGAAACACGAAATGAAACATCAGCCGTTGTTTCTAGTGTTCTTTTATCAGGGAGGAGCAATCGTTCGCTTTCATGAGAAATCGATTCAATCTGCTGTATGCTTTCAAATGGTATTTGTTCCGGTATTATGTTCTTTCTCTCAGGTTTAACAGGTTCTAACATTTCTTCTGTTGTTGACGATGTAATCACTTGAGACTGTTCTACAACGGGCATACCTAGCATGCTTTGCTCGGCTATCTGTTTAGTCGCTTCTTCCAAGTTTATTACGACTTCTTTTGTTTCCTTTTCCGTAGCAGTTACTTGAATAACTTCGACACCTTCGGAAATGCGGAATGAAACATCAGCTTTTGTGCTCGGCGTCTTTTTATCGGGGAGAAGCAAATGTTCGCTTTCATGAGGAATTGATTCAATCTGTTGAATACTCTCAAACGGTATTTGTTCGGGTATTATTCTCTTTATCTCAGGCTTAACAGATTCTATCATCTCTTTCGTTGTTGACGATGTAATTACTTGAGACTGTTCTACAACGGGCATACCTAGCATGCTCTGTTCGGCTGTCTGTTTAGTTGCTTCTTCCAGACTTTTTACTACTTCTTTTGTTTCCTTTTCTGTAGCGATTACTTGTACAACTTCGACCCCTTCAGAAACGCGGTATGAAATTTCGGCCGTTGTACTTGGTGTTTTCTTATCGGGAAGAAGTAAACGTTCGCTTTCATGAGGAATTGATTCGGTCTGTTGTATACTCTCAAATGGTATTTGTTCGGGTATTATTTTCTTTATCTCAGGCTTAACAGATTCTATCATATCTTCCGTTGTTGATGACGTTACCACTTGAGACTGTTCTACAACGGGCATGCTCAGCA